TAAAATCACCCAAAAGAGGACACATCAAGGACAATATCATTAAATTAGCTTTGGTTAAAATTAAAATATTTTGTCCTGCTAAAGATTCCATTGAGCAAATTAAAACACTAACATAAATAAAGGAATATATTTCCAAATCATGTCTGATGGGAGGATGTATAAATTATACATTAAGGAGGTCATATGTCTGTGGGAGAGCCCAGCACCCTGTGACCACAGTGACATCCAGAGGAAGGGCAGAGGGTGGCTGAGTGAGGAATTTTTCTCAGGGTTGAACTTTCCTTTACTGTGAGAAATTCTATAGTATGAATTCTCTACACGCATATCCCTATGGACCCCAACATCACTGATAACGTTGGGGTCCATAGTAACGTTTACTCACTGAGACTGAGTAAACAGGTCAATCTTCTCCCATCATCATTTCCACTTATGAATGATTCTGAGTTGTACACATACATGATCACTGCTGTTATTTCTTGTCGTTTGTCCACTTAGAGCCATGACTCTTTCTGATGTAACTATTTGGAATCTCTGCAGTAGGCCATGGGCTTGCATAAAGGAAGAGGGCACACAAGAAGCTGTAGACATGATCAAAAAATTTCCATCAAGAATAACAAATGTCTAACCTCTCAGTGCTGGGGATGTTGTTTCTCAGATCAAAGTAACATAGTAAATTAAGATATATGATATTGAAAATGGCTGTCCTTTATTTTTAATGTTTTGCACAATGATAGGAATTATTAATATAAAATTAGATTCAAAAATGTGAAATTGTGGATTCAGTAAGATTTTGAGATTCACAAATAGTCTGAACAAATGCTAAACATTTTTACGCCTGTTTGAAAGATTCATGAAAAGTTAAAAGTATAACCTACTCATCAAGTCCACCATTTCCACTTATGCTCAGAAAGATTAGGCTATTTGTTAACTGAATTCCAATGTGCTTCATTTCCCATGTGTGGTCCCCTCCCTGACTTACATGCTGAGTGAGGTCAAGGGAAGAGATGCCCAAAGAGGGGCCCATGAGTAAACAGGGCATCCTGACCTCAGGCTTTACACTTATAAGAAAGGCTACCCCACATGAAATTTCTCTTTAAGCTCCAGGGCAAACTCTCTCCTGGGCTGTGAAGGATCACAGCACTCTCCACACAGAGGGCTGAGGCCTCTGGGAATGCAGAGCTGTGGTCTAGAAGAAGATGAGCCTTCTGGGTCTTCTTCTGTGCCTGGTGACAGTCCCCTAAGGTGAGGGTCTCAAGGGTCAGACAGGGGTCATGGGATGGCTATGACTGCAGATGACTGACAGGGACTGATGCTCTTTGTCCCCAGGTTTCCTGTCCCAGGTGCAGTTGCAGGACTTGTGAAGTCTTCACAGACCCTCTCCCTCACTTGCACTGTGTATGGATTTTCTTTAACCAGTTATTCTGTGTTCCTGACCCATCAGCCCCTGGGAAAAGGGCTAGTGTAAGTTGGATGCATATGGGGTGATAGAGGTACAAACTATCTCCCAGCACTGAAATCCAGACTCAGCATCACCAGGGACACCTCCAAGACAAAGTTTACTTGACACTGAACAGCCTGAGAGCAGAGGACAGGACCATGTATTACTGTGCCAGAAACAGTGAGGGGAAGTCAGTGTGAGACCAGACACAAACCTCCCTGAGGGAGAGAGCAAGGCTGGGCTGCAGGGGGCGCTCTGAACACCAGGGGGCGCTCAGGACCCACAGCACAGAGAGCAGCCCCAGGAGCAGGGGCAGAGATAGGTGAGGAGGGAAGGGCCTTCCTGTTGGGCTCAGGGGGGATTTCCTAACCTCTCAGCTGCCTCCACGGATGATTCTTCCTTCTCATAATCTCACTGCAGACGACAAGGAAGAAGGGACATTGTCTGTTTCCAGGTGACATGCTGGCAGTGACAGGGACTCTTCTTCACCAAGTCTCCTTCACAAATTTTAATGGTCTTTTTTCACTGTCTTTTAAACATTTATCTGATGATTGTGAACTCCACAGGTGGATTGCTGGATTGGGCTGTGTGCACAGCTCTGCATTTATCCCTCAGGTGTCACAGTTACCCTCAGTGTCTGACTCTAGCTGTGCCTTCCCCCTCCTGGTTCCAGGGCTATCAGGGCCCTCCCTCTGCTGAAAGGCCTGAGCACTCTCAGGGCTCAGCGACCTCACCCATACTCTCTCAGTCCACATTGATCCCACCCATCCTCTCTCAGTCCCCATTGATCCCTGGAAGAGCTGTCAGTTCAGTGCACCAAACACAGGGAGCCCCACATCCACCCACAAGAGGGACCCGGCTGTCCTAGTGGAAGTAGTGCCAACCCCACAGTGGGGACAGGTGACTCTGAGGGCTGGGATATGAATCACCAATCTCTTCCCTCCACCTTTTCTCTTTAATCCAAGGTTTTCTAGCTTCCCTGTGGGTGAGATGTGCATTGGGAGCATGTTGGAGGCCTAGGAGCATCCATGGGACCCCCTGCATCCATACTGTTCTCTTACTCCTTGCCCAGGAAACACAGAGTTACATAGACACATAGTCACATACACAGATTCATACACACAGACACAGAGACACACACAGTCACACAGAGAGACACACAAAGAGTCACACACTTGTTTTTGGAAAACAGATGCTTTCACACATGAGCAGTGATACAAAACAGTTCATGTTGTTACACACTATACTTTATGAATCCTATATAATAAAAAGTGGTTATATGTCATTCTCTTGAATGCCATATGAAATTAATATGTTGTCTGAAAACAACTATTATTTCAACACTGTGAAGATCAACAGTTGTATTTCTCAGTCCACTTAGTAGTTGCTCAAATTAGGGATTTGACCCCAACTTTTCTACATTGCTATGCATTTTTAAAAATAATAGAAGTAGTAGTGAAAACCTACCAACAAATAAAAAGCCAAGGACCAAATGGACTCAAGTGTGAATTCTACCAGAATTTCAAATAAGAATTAATAACTTTTTATTCACCTCTTCTTGAACTCTTCCAAGAAATAAAAGACAATGGTTACAAACAGATTTATTGAGGTGACCATTACACTCATATCAAAGCCAAGTAAAAAATATACAAAAATTACAGGTCAATATCCCTGATGAGCATAAGTGCAAAAGCACTCAACAATATACTAGGAAACTTAACTTCACACTGAAAGGATTATTTACCATAATCAACTGGGATACTGTCCTAGCATGCAAGGATGGTTCAATGTATGTAAGCCAGTAAATGTGATACACCTCATCCAAAGAATGAAGGATAAAGTATACCATCATACAATTAGATATAGAATAAAGCATTTAAAATTTAAAATTGTTTCAGAATTAAAATTCTTAGCAGATTAGCTGTAGAAGTGATGGGCCTCAATGTACTAAAGGCCACATTTGAGAAGCCAACAAGTGACATCATGCTACACAGAGAATATGTCAAAGCTTTTCTTCTGATATTAGGACCCCAACAAGTGCTCCCCTGTGACTATTTCTATTCGTCAAAACTAGAAGTCCTTGTCAGAATAATTAGGCAAGAAAAAGACATTTAAAATGTCTAAATCAGAAAGAAACAAGTTAAAGTGTTTCTCCTTATCTGTATGCAGATGACATGATCTTGTACATAGAAAACCCTAAAAACTGTATGAGAAGCTAATTGAACTAGAATTCAGGAAAGATGTAAGATAAAAAACCAACACAAAAATGACTTGTGCACCTGCACACTCTTAGCTAAGTGTCTTCATGACTCTAGGAAATATGTGGGGCTGTTTCAGAGGAAAGTGAGGAAAGAAAACTTGAACTGGCTAAACAACAAGGAGATGACAACCTGATGAAACAAGAACCCTGGACCTGTGTGTGTCCTCGGTCTTGGTTAATCCCCCATTATGTTCCCATGTAGATTTCCTCCCAATGTGGCACTGAGTCAGGTGCATCGTCCAGTTGACCCTCATCATGTGGAGACATGGTACCCTGGTCCCAAGGGTCACATGCAGACATCAGGTTTCCAATAATAATATTTTCATAACCTAAACGTAATTATTCCTAAATAATTATCCACAGCTTCCCCTAAACACACCTGGTCATTACAGAGATTATTCTTCATCCCAATATATGAAACTGGATTTACAACAGAGTCTAGAGAATAAACACCACAAAGGAGGCCATGCAGCTGCTACATGTCCAGCACCAAACTCCCCTGAAGGAATAGGACCCGGGAGATCTGTCCGTGTCTATATAGTTCATGTTTCTGGTTCTCAGGGACACACAAAGATGCTCCTCCAACACTTGGTCCACTGGCTTTAGGCTCACACTCCTCTGGTCTTTTATCCTTTGATCACTTTGTAGAGGAAATAGTGTCAGGTGGAACTCCCCATCTCCTGAATATGAACCTGCTGCATTTTTTCATCATAATATTTGAAAGTTAATTACTCTTAGTTGTCTTTACTGGTGACCATCAAAGGAATCTATCATATTCCATCCTTATCTTTTTTTGTACAGGTGACCTGGAGCAGGTGGGTTCCATGGGGAGGGAAGAGGCCTGTATAAGGTGAATTATTTAACAAACATGCATTTTTGGACATGTCACACTCTGGAGCCATGTCATTAATTACAGAGTCCAACTCCAGAGATCCCCATATAGCAGGAAGACATGCAAATAGGGCCCAGTTTGCTCATAAATACCAGCCCAGCAATGACCCTGCAGCTCTGGGACAAGAGCCCAGCCCTGGTATCCCCAGGTGTTCCCATTCCCTGATCTGGACTTAATACAGACCACTCACCATGGGGTTTTGGCTTAGTTGGGTTTTCCTTGTGGCTGTTTTAAGAGGTAATTTATGGAGAACAAGAGACACTGAGTATGTGAGTGGTCAGGAGTGAGAGAAGGAGTGGAAGTGTGAGAGCTTTCTGAGCAGGTCATATCTGTGTTTTCAGGTGTCCAGTGTGAGGTGCAGCTGGTGGAGTCTGAAGAAGGCTTGATGTAGCCTCGGGGCTGGGGGCGCCTGAGATGCTCCTATGAAGCTTCTGGATTCACCTTCGGTAGCTACTGGATGCACTGGGTCTGCCATGCTCCAGGGAAGGGGTGGAGGGGGTTACTGTTATTAATCCTGATGGAAGTACCACAAACTATGCCAACTCTTGAAGGGCCAATTCACCATCTCCAGAGACAACACCATGAACATGCTGTACCTGAAAATGAACAGCCTGAGAGCTGAGGACACGGCCGTGTATTACTGTGCAAGAGACACAGTGAGAGGAAGTCAATGTGAGCCTACACAAACCTCCCTGTAAGAGAGGCTGTGACCACCAGGGGTCGCTCAGGGTCGGTGAACACAAGGACCATCCCAGCAGCAGGTGCAGTTGGAGGTTTGGGCTGGTTTCCTGTGTGGTTTCCCCTTCATGTCACAGTTTCCCTCAGGGAACCTCTGGATTCCTGATTCTATGCTTACCTCTGGAGTCTCTGAGTTAGAAAGTCTGTTGTGAACAGATACAACTTTCTCACATGGGCAAACCTCAGAAACTCTTGTGCCCAAACAATAACCATCTAATCTTCTGTCCTATGTCACTTTAATCTAACCAGAGGCTCTGCTGACTCAACTGTGAATCTCAGCTCCTCACAGGTCAGGGCCCCAACCAGCCAGCAGCAGGACAGGAGTGTGCTGACAGGGGGCACCAGAGGAGTGTGACCCACAAACTAGAGAAGAAAGATCCTGGTTTATCATCATGCTCATAGCACCAAGAGCCGTGACACTAGATAGAGACAGAACGACCCTAAATCAGCTTGGGACACATGTCCAGGTTGATGACAAACACACACACCAAGTGAACATGGACAGTTTATTCCATACATAACTGACATCTCTGGGAAGCATGGGAAAGGCCCTTCAGGAAGTCAGATCTGCTTTGATGGAGCCAGGAAAGGAGACTGGCTTGGGGTTTTATTTGTCAAGGTGGTGGCAGATGGGGAGGAATTCTCATTCCAGGGGCTTGAGTAGTTTCTTTTTTTTAAAAAATATTTTATTGATTTTTCACAGAGAGGAAGGGAGAGAGATAGAGAGTTAGAAACATCGATGAGAGAGAACCATCGATCAGCTGCCTCCTGCACATCTCCCAAGGGGGATGTGCCCGCAACCCAGGTACATGCCCTTGACCGGAATCGAACCTGGGACCTCTCAGTCCGCAGGCTGACGCTCTATCCACTGAGCCAAACCGATTTTGGCTCTTTTTTTTTTAATTAAATCTTTATTGTTCACATTATTACAGTTGTTCCTCTTTTTTTCCCCCCATAGCTCTCCTCCACCCAGTTCCCACCCCACCCTCTGCCCTTACCCCTCCCACTGTCCTCATCCATAGGTGTACGATT